ATATATATATATATATATATATATATATATATATATATATATACATTTAATATATATATTATATACATTTAATATATATACTATACTATATATACATCTTATATATAGTATATAAGATGTATATATAGCTTATTGAATATAGCTTATAATATATACTATATATACATCTTATATACTATATATATTTGATATTAAATATTGAATATTAAAATTTAGGATGTTAAATAAAATTTAGGTCACAATTCTATAATAATTTTTACAAAGAATTGCCTTAGATATTTTTTTTAACATCCTTTTGTCTCTAATATCTATTTAATTTTTTAAAAAAAACATATATATGTTGGACCCACTTAGCTCGTTTAGCCCGCGGGCCGGGACCGTTTAGTCCGGGACCAAACGGTCCCGATCCCGGGCCGGTACTTACAAAAAGCCCGTTTAGCCCAGGTTCGTTTGGCCCGTTCAATTTGGGACCTGCCCGGGACCGGGCCCGGGACCGTTTGGACCGGCCCACTTGGTCCGTTTAGGCCCGGGACTGGCCCACTTGCCAGCCCTAACGCCGAGTGGATTGTGTGGTTATGCTTGTGACCACGCTAGACGGATTGTGTTATTATGCATGTGAACACGCCGGGCGAATTGTGCCGATATATATGTGACCACGTCGGGTGGATTGTGTTGATATGACTGTGACCACGCCTGGCGGATTATGATATAGCCTGTGACCATGCAGGGCATATCCATCACATTGAGCCTAAGACCTTGCCGGGTGGATTATGATTTTGAGCCTGTGACCACGCTAGGCTGGTAGCACGTTGAATTGGTTATGCTTGCATGTGGATAAGGATTCATTACCCTAGGGTCACCCTCTCATGTTTCTCTCTTAATGGTGTACACGCGGATTATTATAAACCGACGGGTTTCTGGTTGATGTGAGCTCTGGGAGAGCTGGTTACTGTTATTGGATCGGGTTCTGTACCGCAACAAGACCTATTGGCTAATGATTATTGGATCGGGTTGCACGCCGCAACAGATTGTTATTTGGTTATTACATTTCACCCTTATTTGTAATTTACTTGACTGTTGCCTGTTGTACTTGCATATCTTTATTATATGTTGGATTGTTGACTTAGTAAAACACTTTAAACAAAATATTTTGAGCATCAAAGCGGTTATACCAGAGATTTTCCTGATTTGACCATATAGTTGCTCTATACTTGTTGAAAATATGGACTATACATGCATTGATGAGTATCATTTATAGTTCTTGCTTCTTGTAACTTGTCGAGGTTAGTTATGATATTTATTGAGTACATGGGGTCGGTTGCTCATACTACACTTCTGCACCTTGCGTATAGATCTTGGTTTTGCTGCTGCTGTGTATGACGAGGATTGGCATTGAAGATATACCTGTGTTCCAGTCATGGCTACCACTTGTCCTTGGTAGCTTTAGATTCGAGTTCGGTTCATGTATATTTCAAACATATATTGTATTTATTTCATTTTAGTTTTGTAAATCTATGTCTTAGTGGCTCATGATTTGTACTACCAGTCCCTAGGAGTTGTATAAAAATTCAATTATTTCATTTTTTTTTACTCTTATCGTTATCACTATATAGTATTTTATTGTTATTTGGCTTATCTAGCGGGATGGGTTAGCTGCCATCACGACGGGTTGGATTTTGGGTCGTGACAGTTTCCAGCAGATGTATTTGGAATATGGATATTGATTTTAAGTATTGACTTGGTGTCGGGTACTCAGCCCATATCTATTCCACTGTACCGCATGACTCAAGCTGAGTCGAAATAATTAAAGGAACAACTTCAGGAATTGCTAGTTAAAGGTTTTATCATACCGAGTGTTTCGCAAGTTGTAACTGTGATTCCCATTTATGATCTCTGCAGCCGTTTCCTAAAACTGTTATATCATGTTAGGCACAACTTAAAAGTATTATTTGGTGTCATGTCTTCATGCAAGAACGAGATTTTTAATGAAGGATAATTTGTTCTTTAGGAACAGACATTAGTGCATAACTGCATTTTATCCGAATATTATTTTAGATTACTAGGTAGTCATCGAACTGAAAGAAGTGTATTTATTGAAAACCAATTGTGCGAGTCACAAAATCAGCTACATATATTGTAAAATTATTATCATTATTAAAAAGAAACTAGATTTATTTTTTTCTTTTTGGGAATGTGATAAGAGGTTATTTCGATAAATACTTGAATTTTATAATAAATATGCAATATGTAAAAAAGAACAATTTGATGACGTTATTGACAATTAAAAAAATAAAAATGAAGTCTCTTGTAGTAGTATCTTTTAGAGTTGATATTTGTTATAAAGAGTGGATCAAGCCACTTTTTAAATTCATTAGGCTTGAACTACTCTGAATGTATGATTATATTTTAACATGTACTTAGCAAAGTGAGATAATTAGATGATGAGAACTTATAAAAAAATTATCTTAACCATGGATGTTAATATTGTCGAAGCTTCGGTGAGTAGAGTTATCTCGATGGTAGGAGCTAGCAGGTAGCCCAGTGCCTTGGCAAGATAAGTACAAGATGGTCTAAACACAATCTTTACAAAACAAAAAGAAAAAAAATTAAGATTTGGCTTTAGGCCACCAATATCGTTGAACCGTCTCTGAATCAGTTCTTATTCCTCAATACTCTTCAAGCTTGAACTTATATGTTAATTAATGATCTCGGATGTTAATTCTCCAGCGATTATAACATAACATTTCGATAGCCTACCACTAATAGACGCGTACTCCCAAGTTCACCGTGAACCTTTCAATGGTTTGACATTGTGGCAGAAATAGCCTCAGATTATTCCCATTTGCTTGCATGCATGACTGATATGAAGATACTATCTATTCACTTGTTATAATAAAGCACACAAGATATTTTATGTGTCCTAGCAAACATATATAATCTATGCCTTTAGTCCTACTTACTCTCAAGCAGGGTGGGTGCTAATCTGCTGATATGTATTAGCATTTGTGAGCTCTCACAAATATTAGTTCATTAGTGTAGAAAAGACCAGCAGTTGGTACTACTAGCTAGTCAAACTTCTACCGCTTGAAACACATGTTTGTGATATACGCTCACCCTTGTAGTTTTCAGGGGATTTTGCGTCTAAGAGGTAGGCCTGCAGTTGCTTATGACCAACAAGGCCTTGTCTTTGCAGTGGCAATGGAAGGGGGTGCCGTCAAATTGTTTGATTCAAGGTCGTACGACAAGGTTTGTGCCTCTAAAGTTCAGCTCGCTTAAGATTACAGATAATGAATTTGGTCATATCTTATGATATGTAGGGACCCTTTGATACCTTCCTAGTTGGTGGAGACACAGCTGAGGTTTGTGACATAAAATTCAGCAATGATGGAAAATCAATGCTCTTAACAACTACTAGTAACAGCATCTATGTCCTTGACGCCTATGGAGGAGAGAAGGTTACTTTTCCATCAGAATTCTTTCCTCTGTCTGCTCTAGATTCTCTTTTTTTGTTCCTTGTATTTTCCATGATGTTTTACGAACTTATTCAACACTAAAAGACTCAACCATTTTAGGCGCAGCGGTGTGGGTTTAATCTGGATCCCTCTCTGACAGCAATGGAGGCAACCTTTACACCAGATGGCCAATATGTTGTTTCAGGTATTAAATTAAATTCTTTGAGCTTATTATTGACTGTAGAAAAATTCTCCTATAATATTGTTGGGACTTAGATATTAGACTTAGTGGGTTGGTGATAGGATACCGTAAGTTTACCCTGAGCATGCCGAGGTCTTGATCTCAAGCAAATCAAATGCTTATTTGAAAGTGAATGTGATAAAAAAAATTTAGCTGTCTGTATTACTTGGAGATTTTCGATAAGATAGTAAGCTGTATATCGGTGCTTTCCTTGTAACGCAGCTTAAAAAGCTTTTATTTATCTGAAAACAGATTATTAATTTGTGGGAGACAATTTATATGTTCAAGTAAACTGTTAAGCCCTGATTTGTCTGGGAGTCTGTGTAGTTGATGGGATGTTGATTGAAATTGTTGAAATTTTTAACACCAGAGTGTAGTCGAAGCTAAAATTTCCGAGACCTTTTTTCTCTTGGTTTTAAAGTTTTCGGAAATGAAAGTGCCATTTTGTGATAATATACCAATTTTGTGTGATATTGCCTTTAATTATTGAGATAATATGTCAATATTGTGCGGTATAAGTATCTAACATAATAATTTCAAGACTTATCGAGAGCGATGTTATGTGCACAAAGGAAGTTTGTTACGTTTTTCAACAACTTTTGTGATAAGAAATAAATGCACTGTCCGCAAGGGAGTGACAGAGTGGTTGAGGTGTAGGAGTAACAAATTGGATTTCTCATGTTCTAAACCTTGCTACAACGATCATTATAAACCCACTTTGCTCCAGCCTCAGTGGGTAGGTTTACCTGGCGTTTATGCTTGTGGACTGTAGCAGGCTGCCAGATGAATTAGTTGAGTGCGTTTGATCTTTAGTTGGAGTTTTGATAGTTCCGCTAGGTGCGGATGGTGATTTTTTGTTTAGGCGTATTTTCGGATTTGGATTTGGAGGTTCCTAGGTTGATTTGGCTCTACTTGGCGTAAGTTGACAATTTTGGAGGTTTAGAAGTTCATAGGTTTGACCCATTATTGACTTTGTGGTTATCCATGTCCGTTTGGGATTCCGAGTCTTAGATTAGGTTCCTATAGTGATTTCTGACTTGTGTGTAAAATTTGGGGTCTTTTCGAATTGTTTAGGCATGTTCGGCATAAGTTTGGAATTTGAAAATTTTGATTAGTTCATTAAGCTTTAATTGAGGTATGATCCGTTATTTTGATGTTATTTTGTGTGATTTGAGGACTCGAGTAGGTCTATGTTATGTTTTGGGATTGGTTGGTGTCATTGGACGGGGTCTCAGGGGCGTCGGGTGTGTTTCTAATGGGTTTCTGACCATTTCAACCACATTTGGAGTTGCTGATTTTCTAGTGTGCTGGTGTTCATCGCGATCGCGGAGAGTGTTTCATGGCTGGAATCTCTTTGCCCTTCGCATTTACGCTGTAGAGGTTGCAATCGCGAGCACTATGAAGCTGAATCTTCGCGTTTGCGATTGCATAGGGTATGCACTGTGAAGCTGAATCTTTGCGTTAGTCTTGGTGTTAGTGGATGGGCGTCGCGTTCGCGTAGGCTTTAGAGTTAGTGAAGCGCGATCACAGGCAATTGGTCGCATTTGCGTAGGGTCTTTTGAGGCAGCTTTGGTTTGTGCTTCGTGATCGTGAAGTAGGTCCCGCGATCGCGAATGGTACCCCTGGGCAGACCTAAATAAGTCTATTTCTAACCTAAATAATTCTATTTCTATGGTTTGAGTTATTTTATCATATTTTGAGATTGAGAGTTCGGTTTTGAGCGATTTTTTAGGGGAATTTAACGATCTGGATTGGGGTAAGTATTCTTAACTTGGATTTGGTTATTATTCATGATTCCATCTATGAATTTAGCATTTGAATGATGATCTAAGGGAAGACAATTAGGGATTTTGGCAAAACTTTTCTAAAATAAAAAATGGGGGTTTGAACCCCGATTCCCAGTCGTATTTGGATGAAACTTGTATGGTTGGACTCTTATTTGATTGGATGTTTGAAAATTTTAACTTTTGTTGGGTTCCGGGAGACGAGCCCCTGTTGACTTTTTGGGTGACTTTTTTATTTTTGATAAAGATCAGAGGTTTATTAATTAGAATCGATTTCTATAGCCGTGTTTGATATTATTGATTTTTTTGCTAGTTTTGACATGTTTCGAGGCCGATTCGAGAGGAATGAGATTTCTAGAGTATTGATTTGGCTTTTTTAGATAAATATATTTCCTAATCTTGTGTGGGGAATAACCCTTCGGATTTAGCGTTAGATTGTTTATTCATGTTATGTGAAATGCGACGTGTATATGAGGTAATGAGCACACATGTGCTATGTGTGGTTTATGACCGGATTAGGCCGTAGCATATTAATATGCCTTATTTTGATTATGTAACTTAAATGGAAAATTCTTAAACCACTTTGTGATTACATGATCATGATTGTTACATGTGACTTAGCCATAGTCATGCTTATTTGTTGAACACCCCTCCGCACTTTTATGTTATTATCATATCCGTGTGCACTTTGTTGATATGTTTTGAGCTTATATCTTGATGACACTTTGAGTATTATTGTTTTGTAATAGTGTGGTATATGCGGACATGTTGTGCATACTGATTGATATTTTTGTGGTATATAAGGGTGGCGAGATGCGCATGTGGAAACATAAGGGAGTCATTTCATTGTGATGCACAAGCGGCGAGATAAGGATGGATTATGCGCATGTAACACAAAATAAGGGTGGCGTTGTTGATGATGTTGTGTGATAATTTGGGGGTGTCTTATTGATGTTGTTTATGTATTGAAAAGGGGTTGATATTTTGATAGCATACTTGTTTCTTAAAAGTTTATGTTTTGTATTTTTATGTGTTGTTAGTTGAACTTGACATGTTATCCCATGCCCTACTCCTATTTGCTATTTTGTTGGCAAATATGGGTTATTATACATTGAGTTGTTATTACACACTCTACGAGATTGTTGATATTTGTCTTCATTATATATTCTGTTGTTAGTGTTCTTTCGATATTTTGCATAGGTTATTTGGCTAGTGAGTATAATATGACTTGAACTTTGTTACTTCCCCGAGTTTAGTCTTGATACTTACTTGGTACCGACGTGGTGTACTCATACTAAGCTTCTGCATATTTTTTGTATAGATCCAGGTTCTTGTGACTACCCGAACAACCATTTTGTGTAATTATGCCCTGTTACCCCCTTTGATGCTTCACACATGTGTGTTTTTGGTTGTATGACTTACAGGGTTGATTAGTTTTGTTTCGGGAAGATTTCAGATTGATTTGGACCGTTTGATTCTTGGCTTAGAAGTATAAGTTGATTATGTTGACTTTAGTGAATACGATCCCAGAACGTTATTTTGATGGCTCCGATAGTTTTGCATAGTGATTTTGGACTTGGGCGTATGCCCGAAAATGAATTCGAAAGTCCGTAGGTTGATTTGTGTTGTTTTGCAAAATTCGGCAATTTGAAGTTTAGAAGTTTGATCGTAGGTTGACTTTTGGCTATTGGGATTGTTATTTTGTTTTGGTACTTGGAATAGGTCTGTTGCGCTATTTAGAACTTGTCCGCAAAATTTGGTATCATGTGAAGATTAGGCCTGAGCTGGGTAGTTACAATTTGCGACTAAATTGTCGCATTTGCGAAGGGACAAGGTTCGCATTTGCGAACCCATTTGTCGCATTTGCGAAGTCCCTCTAGGATGGGCAGTTGTCGCATTTGCGGGGAATTCTTCGCAATTACGAGGGTTCGCAATTGTGACATCTACAACCGAACAAAAGGTTAGTATGTCGGGATTTCATATCATTCTATTATATTTTAGAACCCTAGGCTCGGTAGGAGACAATTTGGAGAATGGATTTTCATCTACAAACATTGGGTAAGTGATTCTAATTAATTTTCATCTATATTTCATGATTATATCGTAGATTTAACATCAAATTAATGTGATTGAGCTGATTTGGACTCGGATTTGGAAACTAATCGTACATATGGACTCTTGGGATTATGGGTAGTCTCAATCTACCCTTAGACCCGGGTATTGACCTGGCGAGCCCCCGATTGACTTTTGTTGATTTTTTGGAAAAAGTATAAAGATCATAACTTTATCTATTGTAATTATTTTTCCTTACATTGTTTGATGATATTAAGTCAATTTTTGTTAGATTAGAACCGCGTGGAGGCGGATTTTAGGGGAAAACCTATTTTCGAGGGTTGAGTTGGCCTAGTTGAGGTAAGTATCTTCCCTAACTTTGTATGGGGGAACTACCCCTTAGGATTTGGGATCGATTGTGTCATTTGTGTTTTGTGAAAGCCGCGTATGCAAGGTGACGAGCGGGTACACAGGTTATATGTAGTATTTGACCGGTTGGAATATTTGGACTCTTTTCACGCCTTTAATTGAATTGTCATATCATATTTTAAATTCTCGTTGTTAACCTATTCTTGCATGTGTTATTCTATCCTTACATGCCTTATTTGACTTGTTTAATAGTTGTTCTATCTCTTACTTGTTGTTTTGCTCTTATATGCCTAGTTAAAGTTATTGCCTTCCTTATTGCCTTGTTACATCCTTAATTGTTGAATTACTTGTAATTGAAGTTGTTATTTTGTAAATATCTTTTTATTGAGTTATTGGTATTGAAGATGTGGAAGCTATTATCACATTGAGTTGAAGTTATTAATTATTGAGATATCTTCCTTATTGAGCAATTCACATTCATTGTTATTGTTGATATTCTTGTATACATTTTAATTGAGCCATAGTCTATTGTTGTGAAAATATTGATATTTGTCAAGTTTTTGAAAAATAAGAATTTGAGTTTGAGAGTCGATTTGGACTCGGATTTTGAAATTAATCACATATATGAACTCGTGGGGTCATGAGTTGTCCGAATCTACCACTGGACCAGAGTTTTGACCGGGCGGGCCTGGGTTGACTTTTGTTGACTTTTTGGGAAAAGTGTAAAGATCATAGCTTTATCTATTTTAATTGATTTTCTTGCGTTGTTTGATGATATTAAGTCTATTTTTGTTAAATTTGAGTCGTGCAGAGGCAAATTTTAGGGAAAAAGATATTTTCGATAGTTGAATTGGCCTAGTTGTGATAAGTATCTTGCCTAACTGCATGTAGGGAACTACCCCTTAGGATTTGGGATTGATTGTGTCATTGTGTTATGTGAAAGTCGTGTATGTAAGGTGACGAGTGAGTACACGAGTTGTACGTGGTATTTGACCGATTTTGGCTACTTCGACTCTTTCCTTGCTTTAATTGAATTGTCATATCATGTTCTAAATTCTCATAATCAATCTACTCTTATTTGTGCTAGTGTATCTTCACATGCCTTAAATGACTTTGTTAATACCTGATCACATCATACTTGATATTTTGCTCTTATGCTTTAATTGAATTGGTTGACTCTCTCATTGTTACATGTTACCTCGTTCATTCTTGATTTATCATTATTTTAAGTTATTGTTATAGGCTACCCTTTTAATTGTTGATTATCATTACTTGAATTCATTGCTACAAGTTATCTCTTTCATTGTAGATTATCATTATTTGAAGTCATTTGTTACATGTTGTCTCTTTCATTGTTGATTATCCTTATTTGAAGTTTGTTGAGTTATTGGTGTTAAAGTTGTGAAAACCGTTATCACGTTGAGGTGAAGTATTAATATTTGAGACATCTTTCTCGTTGAGAATTTATATTCATTATTATATTTGATATTCTTGTACACGTTGTGGTAGAGCCATGGGCTATTGTTGTGGAAATATAGATATTGTTGACTTTCGACAAGTTGTGACATATGAGAACTTGTGGTGCGAGTTGTTATTGTAATGTGATATTGACGCGCATGCGGTGCTATAAGGATAGGGGTTAATGGACACGCGGCGGCAAAAGGTGGAACTTATGTGCGTGTTACCTGTAAGGTAATTACATGAAGCCACGCGGCGTTGTAAGGTGGGCTAAAGTGCGTGTAGCTATTTCGAGCAAAAATATTTTCAAAATTATTTGAATGTAAGGCTCACACGGAGGTATAAAGAAAGATTCTGATTGAAATTGAGAAATGTAAATACGAAGCGGTACCTCGGTTGTTATTATTTTTATATACGAGGCGGTACCTCGATTGTGATTATTATTGTACACAAGGCGGTACCTTGTTGTGATTCTTGTTGTTTATCTCATGTCGCAAAGATGTTATTTGGTGGGAACACTTGTTGTTTTTTATCTTTCTTGTTCTATCAATTTTTGTCCGTATATGATCATGGTGGTTCTTTTCAATTGTTTCATTTATGTTATTTCTATGCTTAAATTCCTTTCATTAGTCTGTGTTATTGATTTGTTTCATATTACATATTTCTCCGCTTTCCATTACTTCTCGTTATTATATTTTGTTCTATTTATTATGTCCTAGTAGGTGTCTGGACGTTAGTGAATGATTGGTGTTATTTTTTGGAGACTTCAAGGTATACCTGCTCGACGTCTGTTGGCCTCGGAGTCACCTACCCTTATCTTTCATTTTGTTGTATTTATTATTCAGACAGTGATATAGTAGATATTCCACATTATTTTGTAGAGCTTAAGACTCAGTTCCATCGGTTTTGGGGAGAGTGTTGTTGAGATCCTATTTTGGAAGTTTATATGAGTTTATCAGTCTTGCTTTAGTATTTCTGTTGATTATTTCTATTAAGTTATTATTAAATTTTAGGCTTACCTAGTCTTAGAGATTAGGTGCGATCACGACATCCTAAGGTGGAAAATTGGGGTCGTGACAGTACTTCTGATAGAGCAGATCACTAGAGAAGCATGCTTGAGCTATTTGGAGACTTCAAGGTATCCATGTTGTTCCATTCGTAAGCCTAGGAGTTAACCTCTTTACTTTATCTCTAGTTGTTATGTATTTCAAACAGTATCATACTCTTGAGGCTTTATATGTATTCCATCAAGAGCTTATGACTAGGTACTACCGAAATATGAGAAGTTGATTATTTTATCCATGTTTGGCTGTATTATCACATTTTGCAGTTTTTATTAAATTTGAAGTTGTTATATTTTGATTGAATATCATTATGTGATAGGGTTACCTAGTCTTACAGACTAGGTGCCATCACGACCCCTATGGTAGAATTGGGTCGTGACACGTCAGTTAAGATTTGTCCATATGCTATGCTAATGGTTGTCTCAAGAGCTACTAGTCTCCACCCATCCCCTAGAATTTTCATCCTTAGCCACACTTCTTTTTGTAAGAACAATTGCCCATGCATAGCCACCATACATATCTCATAATTCCAGTAGTTGGCGCGAATCACGTTTTGACCTGATTCTTGCCTTGGCAAGGTACGTAGGTGACCCTGCATAAGGGTTCAGTCTTTCAACTATTCCAAAATAATTTTCTCAGTACATAAAACTAGGGCCGAGTTTTTTGGAATAGTGCAATGACGCTCTCAACCTCCTAGAAGTCTTCAAAGAGCGACAACCATATTTTACCTAAACTCCAAATCTCAAAGTACTATACTAGTCTTACCCCAACCTCACGGGACTTAAATCCCAAAATACGGGATGCAAGTCCTTCCTACACATATCTATCTACAGAGCCATGGTGTGACTCCTACTGTCCAAATTCAAGGATTCAATACAAGTCAATCCATTTTGCTATAGGGGCAGGTTGTTAGACAGACATCGAGGTATCATGCTCGTATG